TTGCTCTGGCAAGGACTTCCAGCACTATGTTGAATAGAACTGGAGACAGTGGGCACCAGAAATTATGCCTATGGTGGCGCATGCCTGTAGTCCCAGCTACTCGGGAGGCTGAGGCAGAAGGATCGCTCGAGCCAGAGTTTGAGGTTGCTGTGAGCTAGGCTGACGCCACGGCACTCACTCTAGCCCTGGACAACAAAGTGAGACTCTGTCTCAAAAAAAAAAAAAAAAGAAATTATGCCTAATATTTTAAGTGTGATTATTAGCACCACATGGAACTGACCAACAGCATAGATCAAAAAGATTTTTGAGAATGCTTATTGCCAAAGAAACATGAGCTTGGTTTATAAAGGAAGTTTTTGATTCAGAATTTAAAAACGTATTGTTCCTAATATTTTACAAACAGGAAGTAGGCTCAAATGCAGTGTCACTCCAAAAGAAGTCACAGTCTCCAACGCCTGATTCTTTTAAGGTCATGGGGAACATTTTAAAAGACACAACTTCCCCAAAAGCAGAAAAACATAAAAAAAAAATTTTTTTAAATGGTCAGAAGATGGAAATAATGGCTGGGAGAGTTTGTCCCAGAAAATATAAACAATGTCTAGCCAAGGAACTTTCCCCACTGTCAGTATGTAAAAATGTTTCAATACCTGCTCCCAGCATATTCCAGAATTACCATTGACAAGTTACTGCTAACTGAATTCCATGCTTTACTTCTAACTGGAAATCATATGACTTGTATCCGGTTTCTGTTCCACCCTTAAATGTGTGGAATGAAACAGAAAATCACTGGTGCAAGAGGAATCACACCTGGACCTGATGGACAGGGCCACACACCCCTGGAGATCTTGAACTCGGTGTAGCATACAGCAACCAGATAAGAGTTAGTGTGGTATCCCTTGGGAAGGGAATAGTATATTTTATATGTGGGAGAAAGAGAAATGAATATTTGTGATCCAGCCTCTCTTAAAGCAGCTGGATCTGTATAAGGAGTCTGGCCAATGAAATGATAGAGAAAATGATGTCTCTCCCAGTTTGGGCCCCTAAAACCTCCTATAAGATCCTGTACATTCTCTCTCTGCGCTTGCTTAGCAGCTAGATTCAGAAGCACCAGTGGAGGTCTCTAAGGGCCTAGAACATGGAGGATCCATGTAATAAAAGATGCATGAGTTCCTAAATATGTACATGGAGCAAAGCCCCCATGCATGGGAATGAGATCTGGATGAGAAGTAAATTTTTATTATGTCAAGCCACTGTGATTTTCTTTGTTATGGTAACTAACTTTACTTGCATTGACTAATTCAATGTATGATGGAGTTTTGGTGTGCTCTGCCTTTGCTATTATAACCTGGAGCATAAAAAGAAAACTTCAGAAAACTACAAATCTATCTAACATCTAAAAATATAACTTGATCCCTCTACAACGTAGTAGGAAAAATAGATTTAGGAAGCAAGTATGCCTATTTTCTCACTGCTGACTCTGATCTCTATTAGTTGAATGACAATTTGTAATTTCTTTTTTGTTCGGTTGTCTCATCTATAAAAGTGGAAATAATAATAATTCATGGGCTATTCTGGCCATAATCTTTCTGGAATTGGTTTACCTGTAGATAACTATTGTAGCATTAATCACACATAAAGAACTCCATTAACTAACTTTTAGTTGAATATGTGAAGAAATGAATAAACATTACATATAGTCCTTAGCCAAATACTTGTAGTGTAATATATTATGAAATACCAAGAATATCTATTATTCTTATGAATACCTGAGTCATGTCAGTGATTTGATAATGACTTTTAAATGTCACTGGAGAAAAGAAAATCAGGGTGTAAATTATGTCTCTTTTATTTTTTTTAATTAATCACTCAAATCCCCATGTGCCCTATGGGCAGAGATTGCAGTATCTTCTTCTCAAAGATACCTACTGTGCTATCCCCTAAGTGTTAAGAGGTCCCCAGTCGTTTTCTGAACACACAGTTGTCAGTCCTCTTTCTAATACCTCAGGTAGAGTTCACGCCAATGTTGTTATTCCCGCTAGTAGCCACAAGGGGGCACGGTTGACTTGCCAAGAATGAAGAGTTTACTTAAGCCGGCACTGCTGTTTAGGTTTTGGGGCTGCACAACCTTGATGTTCCAAGCTTGGCCTCTGAAGTTTCAGACCTCTCTTTGCTAACACCCATATGCTGAAAATATACCCCGAAGCACAATAAGGTATGAAGATGGCTAGGTACTCTGCAGCTTTCTAGGATATATGGAAAATGAAGTATTGTTCTCTAAACAATACTTAGGCCTTTGTTTTGAGCATTGGCCACCAACATGGACTGCTTTTTTCCTCCGTGCAATTTAATCCCAGAGGACTTGTTGCTCTTTCTTGCCACTGGGTCTTGATTTAAGTCTGCAGTAGTGCTGAATAGCAGCGTTCAGTGGTATCAGATATTCCTTGTAAAAAGACTCTGTGTTCCTCTTGCAAATTCCTCATGCAAATGTAACTGGCCTGCAAACCAGGGGGTGAAGTGAGTGGAAAGCCACTCCCCTGGGCCTTCTCATACACCCTCTTCCAGTACAATCGGAGTACAGTCAGCCTGGGTTAACAAAGTGACCCTTCACGGGTTTTTTTCAGTTAAAACAAACTGACAAAACATCTGCACCTCACAACTTTAAAATGCCTTTCATTTATACTATAATACTTCATTCTACTCACCCAAGAGAGTATTCAAAAATTCTACTGAGAAAACATGTTTATGCTGTGAGAACTTCACTGCAGAGTGGTGTCTGCTCTTCAAGGTCTGGCTGTTTGAGTTTTCCTGCTTCCCTACCACTTTTACCTGTCTAAGAATTTATCTCCAAGCCTATCTAGGGCCTTTGCGATTAGTTACTTCAGCCACTTGCACTGGGCTTGACAATTCTGTGAGAAATCTGTGGCCCTCTTAACCTTTCTTTTTAGAACTAGAGCAGAGAACCAACCCTAAGCATGTGGCTTATCTGTTCCTTATATTTAGGACTCGACTACTATAGAACTAGAGATTTAATGTACACATGAGCTGTCAACTCATAACTTAGCCATTTCAATATTCTAAGTCAGAGAATGTTTGCTGATCCCCTCAATGTGCAAAAGTTATGCTAGTTTCTGTGAGGGGAGACCACTGGTGTCTTGTTCCCTACATCCTTCACAAGTTGGTAATTTTTATCCCTATGTACACCCAGTTTGAACAAAGCTTCTCATAATTATGTTGGCCATTTGCATTGATCTAGAGAAGCCTAGTTCAGAAATTAAGATCTGAATTTTGACCAACTAGCAGAGACTCCTCTTTGAGTCCCTTCTGGGTTTGTGCCTGGGTAAAAGCATGATAGATGTATAGAAAGCAGCACTCCTGGAGAGACAGACCAGCAGAGTGGACCAAATATCACCTGACTTTTTAAAATATCACCTGATTACAGATGTATCATATTTTTATGAATTATATCTGGTTAGATCCTTTTTAAAAAAACACACTTTCATAATCATCTACAAAAGGCTTTTATAAAAATTAAATATCATGCATAGACACTAGTATATTGCAAGTGCTCGAAACATGTGAGCTTTGATTTTTCATTATTATCACTACCATTTTTACCAGCACATCAGGATATTGAGATTATTAGTCCCATTTTAAGCAATCAGTGCTGGAGTTGGCCCTTACATCCTGAGGGACAGTAGGAAGCTGGTGGTGGATAAAACTCTTCCAGCAACCATGATAAGATGGAGAGTAGCCCTATTAAAAAATTCTCTTCTGAGTCACACCTGTGGATCTGGCTTGAGACAATGAGAACCACCAATCCTTCTTGTAGGCCAGTGGATGTCATTTTTCTTTTCTGCTGTTACTGAGTGATTGGAAGAAATTGTGCCCCTGGAGCCCACACCAGCACTGGGTTGCAGTTACTCTATATAATCCCCACAGTGTCCGTCTATTCCTGCTGCCAGTTGGTGCTAAATTCTTGCATAACTATGAATGCTGTCCCTGTAACATTGTGTCTTATCTCTTAACCCACCTGCACTGGAGGACTCGATTCTGTCTCTTATGCCCTGGAAGCAACTGCAGACTGCAGGGTGATGTTCTAGGTGCCCCTCGGTAGTCACGAGATTTCAGACTCAAGCAGGTTGGAGCTGTGCCAGTTATTAACACTTGGCTCTCAGCCTCAACCCCATCCACCCATACTGTGCTTTCTGATGCTGGGGCTGAGAGTCTGGGATGCTTCCTTGTCCCTGGCTGCCTCTTAGTTTCCACCCACAGAAGGCGAGAGGGATACTGGAAGGTGGAAGCAGAGGAGGGGACAGTTGCTCTTTCCTGTCTGTTCCTGTCTGGTCAGTATAAACAGCTCCTCACCCTGGCAGTGGAGGTGACTCTAGATTTTCCAGATTTTCTAGTTGGTTGGTTTTGGTTTTGGTTTAACTCCCAGAATCAGCCTCACTGAACTTTCTCGTGGGTACCAGCACCAGCAGGGCAGCATCCCATCCTCGAAAGTCTTAGTCCCAACTCTAAGGGCCACCTCCTCTGATCTCCTATAGCACCAGTACCAGGTAGGGACAGCATCCTTCCTCAGAGATCTAAGACCCAGTTCAATGGGCCACCTCCCAACCTTTTAGGTTCTAATGACCCAACCTCTTCCCGAGTGGAAGTTTCTTCCCACAGGTCCTATCTCTCTGTTACTTCCGCATCCCTCTTTTTGGTTTTTAAGTCTCCAATACCCATCTAACATTAAATTCTCTATAAATAATCAGTGTAGTTTCTTTTCTCCTAACTGGACCCACTATTATCCAGACACCTGACACTATGCCATGTCTTCCCGCATTCAGCTAGAGGACTTGGGCAGAATCGGCAGCTCAAATAAGACTTGATTTTCAGTTCACTGCATGCATGGCTTAAGCATATAGGGGAAGTGGCCAACCCATTCTCCTAGTCAGTTTCCCTGTTTCCTACCCCATTGGTGCCCCCACTCCTCTCCCCACCTGTATCCTCATTTCCAAGACTCAAGACCCAAGACTCCCCCTAATGGTAGTGAGGCTGTGTAGGATAGAACAGGAAGCTGCCATTACTTTACGCTGTTGTGATTCTCTTTTCTTGCTGTCCTGCGGACGCTTTCTCAGGCAAGACTCTGCCTTCTCTGAGAACCCTGTGGCTGTCAAAGAAGGAAGTACAGGCAAGAAATACCTGTAGACAGCCAGAAAGACAAAACACAGGCCAAAAGTGAGTGCAATAGGGATGTGGTCTTCAGCTTCAATTGCATTAATAGTTGAAGAGCCATTTCTGTAGAAGGAGTCTAGGTTCTAGAGCATGGATTTTAATCTCTACTCGTTTGCTTCCCAAATAGGTGACCTTTGGCATTTTCCCTTCTTAAAAGCATCTCTTTTTCTACTATGTGAAATGGAAGTAGCATGCCCTCGGGAATGTCTTAAAGATCAAATCACTTAAATATAATTGCCTAGGCTCAAAGCAGTTACTCAAGAAATGTAACTTTCATCTTTTTGCCTGCCTCCACTGGAACCAGGAAGGAGAATAAGGAAGGAATCTGGTTCCATTGCGAAATGACCCTCAGCGTAGATAAGAAATACTCCCTCACTGGACACTTCTCTACCTCCCTGCCCATATAAAGTCGCTGAAGAGAAAGGAGAGGAAGAATTAGAAATCTGTTTTACATATTCACATCCCTTTCTGCAGCAATTTCTGAATTCCTTGTTTTATCTCTTTGGTCCGAACCCCATATACAATAGGGTTCAAGGCAGGGGGAATAAGGTGATGAAGGACATTGAGCAAGATCAAGATGTCCATGGGAACCCTCTTTCTGGCCACATTTGTCAACACCACCACCAGCAGGATGGTGCTGAAAAAGAGGATGAGGATGAAGTGAGAGCCACAGGTGCTCAGGGCCTTGACTGCAGCCCCCTCGGCCTTGAGTTTCAGCACAGCTCTTAGAATGAAAGCGTAGGAGAGGAAGATGAGGATGAAATCTGAGCCCAGCAAAGTCCAACCAGCCACAAATTGGTAGATTCTGTTAAGGGTGAAATCATCACAGGAGAGCCTGGACACAGACAGGTTGGCACAGATACAGTTCTCGATGACATTTTTCCCACAGTAATGGAGCTGGGCAGTGAGGATAGGAATGGGTGCCGTAAGAAGGGCATTCCGTGCCACAATGAAGACGCTGGCCTTGGCCACAAATTGATTAGTGATGATGGATGGGTACCGTAGGGGGTGGCAGATGGCCACATAGCGGTCATAGGCCATGACCATGAATGTGCAGGACTCCATGGGGAGAAAACTGTTCATGATAAACATCTGGAGGAAACAGCCAGAAAAGCTAATAGACCTGAGGTCGAACCAGAAGATGGCCAGGACCTTGGGGATGACGGTGAGGCAGAGCACTATGTCCAGCAGGGAGAGGAGGCTGAGCAGGTAGTACATGGGCTGGTGCAGAGCGGCCTCCAGCCGGATGGTGATCAGCAGGGTGGTGTTGGCCCCCATGGCCAGGAGGAAGAGGAGGCTGAGGGGCAGGGACAGCCAGTGCTGCCAACTCTGGAAGTTGGGGAAGCAGATGAGGAGGAATTCAGAGACTGGGGCAGTGGAGTAGTTGCTGGGTGATGCCATGGGCAGAATCTTGAGCTGAGTAGGCTTCTCGTGACTATTTGTATGGGAAGATACAAGAGATCATTTTTTTTAATTGTTTTCAAAAGCATCCCATTGACTTACTCTTTAAGGAGCTAATGATGTGTAGGAGACTTTTGCTAAGTAAGGCAGATTCCAGTCAATATCCTAAAAATAGAACAGTGACCCCCATAATTCGCTGAAATAAAAATAAATAAACAAATAAAAATAGAACAGTGGTGCTTGACAAATAATGATGTGATCTGTGAAGAAAAATGAATATGTAAAAAAACGAAGTTTTAAAAAAATGGTAACAATAAGCAGTAACCTCACTGTACATTAAAACATGTTGAAAATGTGTAAGAAATGAGGCCAGTGGGATACCAGTGTAAAAAAAAGCAATGGTAGATAAGAAGTTTCTTTAATAAGTGTTTTTGAGAAAATTGTTTATTTGTTGGGGATAGACTTTGTCTTGCTTCCTACTATTTACCAGTTTCAGATGTATATCTTTGTTGCATCCCTTATCCAAACTTACGGTATACTAGAAGAAAATAGAATGTGAAGTTAATTAAACTAGCCCTTTGCTAAAACCCCAATCTTAAATGAATGTAACTATTCATTTCCCAAGGCCTTTGCCTGAGCATCCTAGCCCTTTTGGAATAAGCTGAAAACAAGATAAAAAGCTGCTTTTACTATAAAGTTATGATCACCAACCTCAAAGGGACCCTGAATATTGCCCTTCCATCCTACATACCATCCCTAATCAACTTTTTCCTCTAGGCTTGTTTTCAAACCTTGAACTCTAATTTTCTCAAAGGGTGACATCAACTACTACCTCATGGAGAAAATGGAAGGTGAACGGTAAGATTTTCTTCAACTTCCCAAGATAAAATTTACAAATCTACTTGTATGTTCTCCCACCCTTTTCTTCTTTCCTTCCATTGAAACAGAGAATCTGTCCATCCTCAAAAATGTCAAACCTTTTACATCTGTGTTGGATCTCATTCCTCCTACCTCACCTTCTATCCCTGCAATTTCTCCAACTCTCCCCTTCCCTTCATGCCCAAACTTCTCACAAGCCTGTGACACTCATCTCTGTTTCCTCACCTCACATGCATTTCACAGCCCACTAAAATTTGGCTCCCATCTCCCTTAGTTCCACAAAATAGCTCTCAAAAAAGTCACCTATAGCCTGCCTATTGTGAAACTTTGTTGAAACAGATGATCAAATCCTCTTCCTCGAAACACTCTCCTTGGTTTAATTTACATCACAGCCTCCTGGTTGACTTCATACCTCCTAGGTCTCTCCTTCTCGCTTTCTCTAACATGTTCATCATCCGCTGCCTTGACATCACTGCCAAGGCTCGGTCTTAGATGCTCCTTGCTTTTCTTCTCTTCTGTGCCATCGTTTTCCTCTTTCTTCCACTGCTTTTCTCCTCTCTATATCCTTAGACAATTACCATCTCTATTACTAAATGATTATGAATTATATATCTTACCTAGACCTCGCTAGCAGCCCACCTGATAGATTGGCTAGGGTCTCTTAAATATATTCAAAACTCACCAAGTCCCAAATTAACAAACTTGATCTTTTGCTAGCATCTCCTGTCTCAGTGAATGGTATAAACACTTGCCAAAACACTTGTTTCAAAAGCCAAAGCCCAGAAACCATCTTGAACATTTACTTTACCCATTTCACCCACTTCAGCCCACCACTAAGACCAGTCAGTTGTCCCTTTTAATTAACCCTGGAGTCCAGCCACTCCTCCATGTCCACTGTCACCATCCAAGACTTAAGTCTCATTATCTCTTGAGCCAAAAAATGAAATTGCCTGCTAATGTATTCTAGGTTTCTTTAACAAATATTCTCTACATTGAACTCAGAGAAATATTATTAAATATAAATCTTATTTTGTCAGTTATCTGCTCAAGATATTTCAGTGGTTTCTCATTGCTAATAGAATAAAAGTTAAATCTTAATTTGAACTTCATTAGACTATAAGTTCATAAGAAACCATGCCTATTTTGATCACTGTATACACAGTATATAGATAGAATTTTTTAGTAGATTCTCCTAGTTAGTTGAATAAATTATGTCAGAAAGAAAGGAAGGCAGGCAGGCAAAGTCATATATCATCTTCCTCCTTCTGCATTTTCCAGTCTTATCTGACACCCCTGTCTCCCTTGCTCTTTGAGCTCAGCCACACTGTCCTTCTTTCAGATCTACAAATAAAACCTGTGCTTTCTGCTCCCACTTCTCTTGGAAGGCTATGCATCTTGTGCTTTCATACATCAACCACTTACTTTCCATTCCTTTTCTTTACATCTCAATTCAAATACTCTCTTCTTTGGGAGGTTTTCTCTAACCTGCTCTACAGGTTAGAGAGATAAAAGCCTCCTATTTTGTGTTCTCATAGTACTGTGTCCCATCCTCACAGCTTATAGTTACATATTTGTGTGATAATTTAGCTAAATACTCCTTATCACCACCAGGCACAATTAGATATTTCATGCCATGAAAGTAGGAATGAAGCTCAGTGCTTGACATGAAGGGGTGCCCAAAAGATTTGTAGAATGAATTAATTATTGGGCTTATAAGCAGAGTGATGGTACTCTGGAAAAAAATTAAGTGGAAAATTTCAAGAAGGGTTTGACAAACTTGTAAGTTAAGCAGAAGTTCAATAACATGAGAACAAATGAATATCCACTAAATTTTATGATAAGAGTGTCATTGGTGACCTGGGAAACAGAGAGTCATTCGATTAGTGGCACAGAAACCAGAATGAAAGAAGCTGGAAAGCTAGTGTAGACAGGAAGGCATGACTGTGTAGCCAAAGAACTCCATTTAAAGCTTATAATTGAAGAAAAAGCAGGACAGGAATGAAAGATACAGCAGCATGCTTACTCATTCAGGGAAAGATCAAAGATTCAGAAGGAAAGTAAGATAATTGAAGTAGCTAGTTCACTGAGGAAGCAACTTCTGTTATTATTGGAATTTTCTCTGTAACCCTTAGCACATAGCTTCTGTACCTCACTATTTCCCTCTACTGTGAAATTTCTGGGGACAGATGAGGTGTACTTTTCCATTTACACATGCTACATTCTCCAGTGTCCATAGGTTCTTAATAAAATACTACTGAAAAACATTTTTGAATTATTTTGCCTTGATGTTTTAAACTGTTAGAAAATTTTAAAGAGAGAGTGTGATGGGGGAGAATTAGCCAGAGTTTCAGTGTGCAGAGGAGGGCACTGGGGAAGAAAAAGGGGGAGTTGTGATCAAGACTGTGAGTGGTAGCCAGGGGTGGGCTGTGAGGCGGGCTGGAGGGGAGCAGGCATGGCATGAAATGCATGATGGAACTTGCAGGGTTTATTCACACCACTGCTTCCTGGTGGTCCCCAAGAGCCTGCCACTTGGTTGATGGAAAAATCCTGGGCTAAGTTTCTGACTGAATTAATCTTCTTCCCTTGTCCTAATACAAACATAAAGCAACCCTATTGCTCCTAATGTGTTGGTAAAAATTTTCTTGATTTTTATCCAATCCAAATCATTACCAGTTTATTCATACAAAATCCCATCTGCCTACCCCAGTCTTCCCCCACCTTGAGCCTTAACCTCCCCCTATCTGGTTTTCTCATCCCTGATATACACCCTCCTAACACTCTGTCCTTCACTGGCATTGTTTGACATAATCTTCATACCTGTGCATGCTCCTCAGCTGCCCCTTGCTGACCAGTCCTCCTGTGCATCTGCTCCCATTCGCAACACGGGAGCCATGTATTTGTGGTAAGTCCAAACCTCTGCTGCCTGAGCAAGCCCAGGACACTTGCCTTCACCCACCAGTGTCGTCCCTAGGCTCTGATGCTGTTAAAGTACATTGCTTCACTGCTTAACATTGAGAATAGGGGAGGAGGGGTGAGAAAGTCTGGAACAAGAGGAAGGAAAAGGGAACAGATTCCTAGATGTTCTGGCAGGTGGAAGTACATCCATGAACACAAGTCAGTAATGTGTCCATAGAGTAAAAATTAATTTATGGATTTTAAAACTGGATAGCAATGTTAGCTGACATGTACTATGTATATAGTAGGTACCATGCATTTTTCTAAGTGTTTTATATGTATTGATTTAACTCACAGAATCACAATACTGGGAGCAAGTGTAGTTGAGGATCTTTCTCAATTCTATCATGGCCAGTCCATCTGGAGTGTGCTGTCCACTACAGGATACTATGAATTGAGAGATTCCTTGTCAAACTGAGAGACAGCTGTAGAGAGTTTACATGATGATAAAAGGCATTGATCTCTACTTGGAGGGAGAAGTCATTTTTATGAATTGTAGGTATATGGCCTGCAGAAAACAAGAATATCAGTGATAACTTCAAAATACATGAATGGCCATCCTGGAGGAAAGTGTAAAACTAGGACTGCCAGGGAAAAATCACAGAGAAACTGATCTTGATTAAATATTAAAGAGAACTTTCTAACAGTCTAAGGAAAATTATATCTCTCTATTTTAAACTGCTCTTCTGAGATGGGAATATTAACCAGCTTCTTCATCAATACTTTCTCTGAACTCATGTTCCAGGTATCCAGGGACATACTTAAGCCAGCATGCCTGGCCCTGGTCCCATCACTATGTCCTGTGTCCCATTGTAGAATTTATAGAACTCCTGTGTTCTGATCAGACAAGATGAAGCCCAATCCTCTGCTTGCACTGCGTCACCTAACCAAGCAAGGAAATGGACTCTCTTGTTCAAAGGCAGAGGGAAGAAAGAGAATCTAAGAGGCTTCTTACAGAGCTGTTCAGGGATTCTGGATGCCAATGCATCCAAAGTTACCACACTTCCCACCTCCTCACTCCCTTTTCCTTCCTATTTAATGGAAGTTGCCTATAAGGAAAGATCTCTACCTGCATTGTATCTTCCTGGTGGTCACTTTTCCTATCTGGGTCCAACATAGCCCGTGCTCCCCTCGCGTGGTCCTGGAACTTACAGAGGATACAAAAGGATGAGTCCTTTATGTTGTATCTGCTACAGTGGTTACCATGCTGGGACGCTGATGAATAAATACTGAGAGTTTTATGAGCTCTTTATTCCTCTCTT